AGGCTTCTAGAAGCAAAAGTTATACCAAAACCACTAAGCCTGTGGACCCATTACTTCCAGATCCCAACCGCCTTAACCCTGCACTCCATCAAATGCCTGTAGCTCCCCAAACCCCAACAGTAGACGCAAATCCCTGAACCATGTAGGGGAAGAACTGAATCAGAAAGTGACCTGCAGGATGGGTCCTTCTGGATGCTCTTCGAGGACTTTACATCCTGCTGCCCGGACTGCAAAAGTAGCGATAACATCTTTTACTGGGTTGTCCTTTGGGATCTATTTTAACTTCCCCTATTATTTTGTAGAGAACCAGGAAACCATGATAGTAGATAATTTTCAAAGGGCTTCAAGGACTACTCAGCTTAGCAGCCTCTCTTCCTTCATGACGGGGGCTCTCGAATGCCGAAAACGCAGCCACACGCACAAATGCTTTCCGCACCGTGCATACTCCTAAGTGCAGAAGAAATGCGCTGCACCTGCTTTTCCTTGCTGGTAGATGCATTATCCTTCATGTTGGTGCACGCACGAAAAATGCTTCCTCAGATTCAAGTCAAGCGTTTATCTAATATCTAGTGCTGTTTCCTCTGCCGATGCTCCAATGCTCAGTTCGGGCTATGAAAGTCAACGGAGCAAATGGGATGTATTGTGTCAACTCAGACTCAACCTGGTGACTCACAAACTTGCCGACAAAAGCCGTAAGGCGCTGCTTCAAGCACGCATGATGCATCTCTACCTCTGAAAAACTTGTATCTTCAAAGGTGCAAGACACCAAAACTTGGGTTAGACTTTTCCTTGGGGCTGCATCGCTTCATTGCCCTACCCTCATCCTGCATTTGTGAAGCGACCTGTAACAGCAAACAAATACGCACGTGAGCTGCCTCGAGGCACCAACTCTGTTTAGGTTGCTTGCAGCATCCTATTTGTGTGTATAGCTCTTTCTATGACTTGTAGGGGTATGCATTAACAGCTAAAGCGACTCTCAGACGAGAGAGGAACATATAGCAACGGTAGCAAAAAGTCTCAGAGCAACGATGACTGTGCGACGCAGAGACTTTGCCGAACAGGTAATGATGAGAACAGGAAATCAACCTGAGGATGAACACCGTCCGTCATTTGCAGCAGCAGCAGAAGCAGCAGTAGCAGTAGCGGGGGGGGGAGAAAAGACGGTTTACTCATTTCCATTGTCGAGAAGAGCTGGAAACACCGACATAGTGGCCCAGTATTTGCGCACTTGCTGCTGCAAGGGTCTGCCACAAAATCCGTGTCGCGCGGAAGGCCCGCGTGTCGTCCAAACGCGTTGTTTCCTGAATGAGAACTTATTTCGAGGCTCGCTTTGACTCACTATTTTTGCTCGTGCTCTTCGGCTGTACATCAGCCACCGCATTTGCGGTTTGGATAGTTGCGCTCTGAGGCGAGAAGCCCCTGTCTGCGCGCAGTAGCGGTAAAATACAGGACTCTTCCTCCTCGTCGTCGTGCTACTACTCTACTATGATATTGTTGTCGCTTACTACAACTCCTGCTACGGCTATCATTTCTACTACTGGTTCTTGAAGTCTTACCCGAGTGAATACCCTCTTGTTCAGGGTGTCTTGACCACCTGACTGGCCAGGATTTTGAAGGCGTTCACTGATTTTCCGAAACCCACTTCTATACTATGATAAACATAAAATCGTGTTTGTCCGGTGTTATGATGGGCGGAAGGCTTCGATTCGGTCAACGTCTGCCCTGCCACGATGCCAGTGCCGAAAGCCTCCAGGTCCCTGGGACCGCGGAAACCCTAAGCCCTAAACCCCAAACCCTAAGAGTGTGTTAACATTGTCTAGCTGGGCCTTGGGGTCATCAGGGAGATTCGCATGTCGCAGGGAGGACTGGAGGGTCTCCTTATAAGGATGCTAGAAGCTCTAATTTCGGAGGCTCGCATATGCTGCAGGACCTGAAAATTTCTGTACAGCCTACTGAATGAAACTGGTTTCTGGAGATATCTGTGGGACAGTATGCTCTAGACATGCACGGGTGCTTTTCTTTGATGGCAGATTTCGATTGGTTGTGGTGGTAGTAGTGGTAGTAGAAGCAGCGGGTAGTACCAGAAGGAGTCTGATTGCAGCTGTCGTAGTAGCCGTCGCCAGTTTACTCAGCACTATGGTTGGTAATGATTAGTAGTTGTTCATGGTCGATCAGAGTATTTGCAGCAAGCAAAGGACAATATGTTGACAGACCAGCAACCTTTAAACATCAGGTATCCGCTCTGAACCCTAAAGTGTGACCGCTAAGCCCCCAAGCCCTTAAATCCTAAACCCTCACCTGAGCTATTGTCAAATATTCGGGTTACCGAGGGACCATCAAGGGCGGACAAGGGATTTTTCAGGTCGCTTAGTATAGTCCCCAAAATACTCGGTAATCTTGAATCCATGTACATAAGTTTCTGCGAAAGCTTGCCTGTAGCTCATGTAAGCCTTTAGACGGATCCCCTTCCACCCTGTAGGATCCCAGGCTTGAGATCTGAGATTTGGGTATTCGTTCCCCGTAATGAATCCCTGTATAACCCCTCCAAACCCATAAACATCTAATTTGTGTAGGGCCCCCCAAGCCTGAACCCTGAAGCCTGAACCCTAAACTCCTAAACCCTACTGTAACCCTAAACCCTATACACCCTAAAGCCCCTAAACCCTGAACCTATCCCTGGAATCAAAACCCGTAACCCCCAGGTACGCGAAGTCAAAGCGAGGAGACGCGCCCGTTTGCGGCCGATGCGGCCAGCCTGTTGCTTGGTTAAGGGCTTCCCTTTGAAGGGGTTCAGGGTTTAGGGGAAGTAAAAGTTTCCTGTCACCCGAGGGGTTTGGGTTTAGGATATTTCCACTAAGCTGTAGGTAATGGATGTTTCAAGTTCCCTTTAAGGGGAATTGAGGGGCTATAGAGGGGTGTACAGGGTATCGTGGTGTGTGGGGATTTTAAAGCTTGTTAGGAGTTAGGACTCAAGGGCTTACCTTCACGCGGGATTGAGGTGCTGTATAGGGGTTTATTTTGATATAGGGATTCGACGCGCTTATTAAGGTTCAGAGGGCTTGCACGGTTTTGAGGTGCTTAGATGGCTTCGGAAGTTAGCACTGGAGTTCTGGAGTTTATCCCCAATATAGAAAGTTTCATACTCTTTCACACTCTCTGCTTGCCTACGCTTTCCCCTACTGTCAGGCCCTTATACGCTCGACCCAAAAGCCCTGAATGCCCTGAATGCCCTAAATCCAAGCCGCTAAATGTTCAAGCCAAAGCGTACATCCTTTCGTACACATTCTCTCTAAATAGCGCAAAAAAGATAGACGCTAAACCCTCAACTCCTAAGCACTAAGCCCTAAACTGGTAAAACAAAGGTGGTATATCAATAATAACAACAATGATGATGATGACATAGTCCTAAACCCTAAACCCTAGTAACAGTAGTAAAAGAAAGCCAGGTTGAAAGCTGTTGGCTCCTCGTGCGTGGCCACGGCACGCAGCCGTTGTCCACTTCACCGGGAATGCCCAGCGGCCTCGGGTGGGTGCTTGGGTTTAGGATGTAGGATTTAGGGTTAGAATAGAGTCTACGGTTTCAGGTGTTGGGATTAGGGTTATAGTGGGGCTTCGGGTTTGGGGTTATAATAGGCTGTAGGGTTTGGGGTTTAGGGTACCTGTGGTTTGCACAGGCTGACAGAGGTTCAGGCACAGCATGTGTCATGTACCCTATTCGGCGTCTTTTTTGCAATCTTCGTTGACTCCTTGACTTGCTCTGCTGAATAAGGAATCTTGGGGAGGATTCTACAGATCCTTAAGGGCATATACGCGGTACATGATAATTACTAGGAGCCTCCCCAATTCCATGCCCATACTAAGGCTCAGGCCAAGAACTTCCTTCCGTGCTATTAGAACCCTCCACCCTTTGAGGAATAACCTCCTTGTCCCTATACATATCTAGGATCCCCAGCCCATTTCCGCATAGGGTGGGGGGATTGAATATGTGGCGGAGGTGAGGACTGGGTATCTGCCTTGCTAAGTAATCAAGCTTTAGGGTTTAAGATCTGGGGGCCCTGAGTCAGTAGGTTCATAACAACAAATCTGAGATCAAGACATGTCTCTCAGGTGTAGAAAGTATGCTTCCTAAACCCCCCACCAGACCCTCCAAGTAGTTGGTACGGGTTCATAGCTTGAATGCTGCCCCCGCTCATTAACAGCTGGGCAATATTTATATAACACAGAGTCCTTGTACGGCTCCTAGTATAGACTGTAGATGGGTGGGTGGATGCAGGACCCCATTCACAGGTACTAAGACTTGGGTACAGATTTGGGATGACATAGGGATGAGTCATGGGATCCATTCCCCTGTCTTAGTGCGGAGAGTTGTTCTGGATATCCGTGTATGACCCCAAATTCCTTCATAGTTGCACTTATTGGGTTTAGGGCCATTATAGTTTCACCCCAAACCCCAAAGCCTAAAACCCGTCAGACAAGGGTGCTGAAGCAATGGGCCCAGTAATTGCTGAGTAGGTGACTTTCCATCTTGTGGGTCTAGATGCTCCGATTATACTGACAGGTCATATGCCCTTCTAGAGTTTAGGGTTTATGGTCCTTTTTGGGGGCCGAAACGAAACCACTTCAGCAACCAGGATCAGCAGAAGTGAAGCCTTCGTTGTTCAGGAACATGAACAACTGGATAGTTGTGGCAACCGTTGTGGAACAGTTCCAAACTTTTCAGAGGAATGCTGCAAAAAAGTGTGTGCTAGCCGCGAGCATGGGACATGGGGTAGAAAGGTGGTGCAAACCTCCTGCCTCGCAGTCAAAGGTCTAAAGTTTTTGACTGAGGTGCGTTTAGAGGACGGCGACCTCTGCCAGCTTTGTTTGCGCGCCACATCGCCGGCCCGACGTACGCTCTGGAAGGAAGGAGTTTTGAGCCTGGGGCAAGATTGAGCATGTGTTTTCAACTTGGAGTACTTGCGCTGTCTTCTCAAGACCCTATAAAACCTGCTAGGAATGGAATGTTTGAATCGCTTAGGAGCCAGCGTGCTGGCGATGGCAGCGTGGCGGGCATCAGGCAGGTGGAGCTCACGCGCCGTGTGCCCGGCATTGACTACTTCCCCTTCGAAGCGGGTGCAGGTTGCTCCTTACCTCGGAAAAGGCCACAGTGTGAGCTTGGCCCTGCGTGTGCCTTTGGGTGTCCTGGAAGCAGCTTTTGATTTTTGTTTGTTACAAAAGCCCACAATTGATGGCGAACACATGCATATGTTTTTTGATTTTTGGCGGGTTCCCCGTCAAACAGCTAAGCTGTTTTTGCCAGGGTTCCAGGGCAGATAGAGGTACGCAGCACAGCCCGGCACACTTTGCAGCTTACGATCATCCCTGGATGAAACCTGGGCCGGAGCTTGTGTTGCCATCTGGGTCCAAAGCAAGCGGCAGACACAAAAGCTGCAACAGTTCTGGGGGCCTTTATAAGCCGTGATAAAGCCTGCCATGTCTTAATTACCTCCACTATAGCGGAAAAGAAAGTGGGGAATGGAATGGACACTGGGTGTACATAAAGCCGGGTGAGCGGGGACAATTGCCAATAAGAAGTCCTAGATTCCTTGTATAGACATAATACAAATTGCTTGAAATAGACTTCAAAATTATGTGGGTAGTTATTGGGGCATGTGCCCCTAAACCTTAAAGCCTAACACTAACCCATCAGTGGAAGGTTGCATTCAACTGAATTATTTGCGATCTGGCTGGCTTCGGCCGCGTTATGATAGGTACCAGTATGGTCTTTTGGACCATATGAACCCATTCATCTACACTTTACTTGGGTCCAAATCCCTAAACCCCCTACCCCTGCGCCTTAAGCCCCTAAGCCCTAAACCCCTTAACCCCTTAACCCGGGGCCTTCAACCCCTAAACTTTAAACCTCTAAACCCTATAACCAGGAATTATAGGGTCTTACGTTTGATGGCCCATCCTGGTAGCGTGACATGGGTGCAGGTATGCGAATGGCCATGTTGGGAAACTCTGCGAAGAAGATCCAGGCAGCAGAAAGCTTGAGCAGCTGTTCTTGTGAAATCTTGGTTCAGGATTTAGGGCTTATGGTTAAGGAGTTCGGGTGTAGGTTTAACACCAAATATCGCCCCGGGATATCCCATAGTCTCTCGGACCCAACATGGCAGATAACATCAGCTTAGTTGTTTGGTAATGTGCCTACCTAGGCAATGTCCTTTGCGGGTGTGTAGCCTTGCTAGATGTAGAGTCCTGGATCTCACGGGTGGTTAGTCAATTAGTAGGGCAGAAGTAGGGAACATGATATACAAAAAAGGGGTCACATTCCCTTCGATTATATTCCCTTCTCCCCTACTATCCATCAGTCAGCCACATGCGCATATGAGGACGGGTCAAGAATAGGCTCCGGCCTTTACAGTTTTCATCGGACCCCCTCCTGTCAACTAGGGCTGTTCTGAACATTCTGCTGCGCATAATAAGCGCTCCAAGCAGGGCTAGTTGGGAGGGTTGCAGGGCGCTAAGCCCTAACCTGTAAGCCCTGAACACTAAACACTACCTAAACACTAAACCCTAAATTGTAGTTTCCATTTTCTTTTCCATGCAACCCCTATGTAACCCCCAAACGTAGGAGCCAGGTAGAACTTCCGCCCGGTGAGTTTGCAGTATACAAAGTGTCAGCCTGCATCCCAGACCTGAAACCTGAAATTCTGCTTCAAGCTGCCGAGCCCATGTAAAGCCCCCAGCTTATAAGTAGCACTAAGAATAACAGTCATATACTTAATCGTAATGATGTAACTAGTAATACTACTAAAGTTGCTACAAGTAATGAACAGTAATATTACTAAAACTATGACTACTACTACTACTACTACTACTATACTACTACTACTACTACTACTACTACTACTAGTAGCAAAAGTTACGGTAGTGTTAACAAAGCAAACACAACCCGGGGCTCCAGGCCTGAAACCTTGAAGCATCAAGGCTCCAACCCCCGCGTAAGCTCAGCCCCGTAAAGTTCCGAAACGAAGCTTCGATCTTTGTGGGCATTAGCAAGTAGGTTAATAAGGTTTAGGGTTTAGGGTTAATACTGTTATTATGTGGGTTATAGGGGTTGTAAGTACACTTGCTAAGTCCCCTGGGCCTCTCCCTACCCCCTCTGCAACCCCTTGCGCAGCGCGCATGGCGCGTCTACATCTTCCGCAGCATCTTCATCATGATCCGCAGCAAAGCGATTCTGGTCCAGTCGGTCGTGCGCAGGTGAGCCTGTCATGCTTTGGGATCGGAGCTGAAGGTTTTAGAGTCTAAGGAGTTTGGAGTCCAGAGTTTAAGGATTTAGGGTTTAAAGCCCCGGCTGCAAATAAAAGAGGGTTTGAGTTTTAGGGTTTAGGGCTTTGAGCCTAGGATTTTCTAGGATTGCAGTGGAAGAAGCCGCCACACCTGGGCCCCAAATCATTCGAGTAATTTTCAACTTGTCGGTCTTTCTTGGTTCAACCATTCAAAAATTCGTATTCAATCAGGGTTTTTCACTATGGGGGTTCAGGTCTACAGCGCAGGGCTTGCCCCAGTTGAGCCTTGAATTAGCATTAACCGAGGTTTACGGTTTAGGGAGTAGGGTTTTAGGTTTCAAGGTTTAGGGTTTCATGGTTT